GGGTCCTGGGCTGGGAACAGAGTGCCTGGCAGGTGACAGACCAGGGAGCCCGTCGGGTGGGTCACTGCTCTACGGTTCTGAAAAGCCAACTATCCAGCGGTGTCCTGAGCATGCATTTCGGTGGGAGAAATACGATGAAGTCAGATCTAAACCGTGGAACTAGGAGTTTAGTTTACCAATGGTAGTTCTCTTCAAATTATTCCTGTAATAGCAGCATCAGGCACATCTTGGGGACAATACACTAAAACCAAGAAATTATTGTTTTGAAATGCCTGGAAATATGGGAAGGAGTTAGTTCGTCATCCTTTCTGGATTTTCCATTAGACTGAGAATTCCCAAGGCACCACAGTCTACAAGGAAGCACAGCAGCTTCCAAAAGTTTCTTTGCATTTATCATTTAAAAAACAATTTGATGTCCTTGCAAAAATCAAATTTTGATTTACTTCTGTTAGTAGAGGAAGGCTGTCGCGGTAAATCCCATAGCAGCATATGAAGAACAGAAACCTCCCGCCAAGGCTCATCTATCCCAGTTTTCAGAAAGCCAAGGCACTAAGGAGAATGGCAGATTCATGGTCAGAGGAATTTCATCTTCACAGACTGTTGGCTCCATCCCGGGCAGGGAGTGGATTATGTGGAGTTGCTACTTTAAGCAAAGCAATGGTCTCTTGTTTTGGTCTCTACCGTAATTTGCAGCTTGTGGTTGGGGACTCCAGGGTCAGGGGTGCTAGGACGGAGGAGTCAGCAGAGCAGGAGAGATGACAAGGAGGAAAGGCAGGCTTGCTGCAAGGGCCCCCGCAGGCCAAGCCGGGGACAACCTATGAAAGAGCCCAAAACACAGGGGACAAGTGGAGCTTTTCCTTCCCTCACCGAGGTTCTTATTTCCAGAGAGCTTGCAGAAAGCCAGGCTGAACCTGGCTCTGTCCATCAGGGTCCAGCTAGAAGGAGGTGGCAGAATAGCAGCCTCCAAGGGATGAGGCTGCCTCCCCTCCAGGGCCCTAGGGGTGCCCTGGGGCAAAGATGTCTCCTCAGGGTCATGGGAGAACCGTGGCACGCCGACATCTCTGCTGACCTCTCTGCTGACCTCTCTCTGCTGCATTCTCCGACCACGCAGCCGTAAGCATCGGTGCATTTCTGTAAGGTCTGTCCTGCTCCCGGGATCACAGGACAGGCGTCTTCAGCCCTCTTCTGTTCTTTCCTTTTAAAGTCAATTCCTGTTTGCTTTTTCTCTTTCCAAGATTCCTCTAATTTTTTCCTGATAGTATTTTTTTCTCTTCATCACAAATGTGTTCTCATTTCACTGTGAGGTTTTTTTGTCACGTCAAGGGCTTGGCAGAGGGAAGAGATGGATAAGAATACTGAGTCTTCCCCTCACAATCAGATCCAAACCACTGTAGATTTCAGTTCCAAGGAGCCCCATCACTTTAAAAAGAGCAAATATCATTATTTTATTTAATGGCATTTCAAAAACAAATCTATCACTGTACCTGAAAAGCTACTTAGCTGGCCATTCCTTATGTTAATTCACTTGGGATCCTTAAAGTCACCTCCCACCTGTGCATTTTCCTGCTCAATGTGAAAGCAGAAGAGAATCCAAGCTAGAGGTTCTAGCACCTTTGCCATACCTTATCACATTGTAAAAACCGCATTAATGATGCTTTAGTACATTTGATTCTTCTGTTATCCAAGTGGGAAGTGGTAATTTCCTCCCCTGGACCTTATGGGTCACCCCAGTGCTGTTGGGCTGAGTCTGCCGGCCAACTCCAGGCACCCAGGCACCCTGCAATTTTGGCATAAGCTCCTCTGGTGGCCGTGGCTGACCTCTTGTGGACCTTTGCATCTACTCCCCGATGCTCCTCAGGTCCTAGTGTGTGTGCCAGCATTGCGCTGGGGACACTGGCCAGAGCCTGGACAGAGGAAGGGTCCCAGGGTCCGAAGTCTGAAGATCTACGATGGTGAATAATAAGTGACTGGGTTTTCACATGTTGCCATCATACATTCACACATGAAGCATCTTTGCCATCATAACTGTCCTACTTGGAACACACAGTTTACTCTTCAGCTAAACACATTTCATTTTTCTATTGCATTGTAGACAGTAACTGATGAGCACTGTGAGAACCAAATGCAGCAAATCGTCTTACACGACAGGAGTGATGGCGTCCCTTCCGGCTCAAGTTGAGGAGTGGGTGACATCCTTCGCCTGGTGGGAGGGACGCTTACCTTGCCCCACAAAGTCCCGCTCCTGTGCTCCTATGGCCCATGGCCTTTGCTAGGGTATCTGTCTATCCAGCCAGCACCTACTCAGGCCGATGAGGTTTACCGTGTTAGGTCGGAGTCTTCCTGTAGAGGGCTTTCTCCCTTTCAGGGCAGGCTGGCTCCAGGCTGGCCAATGGGAGGGGCCGACTTCTGAGCCTTCCGACCCTCCTGGAGGCCTGCTCTTCCCCAGCAGGGTCCTTGTCCCTCTCTGGGAGCACCCTCCTGACACAGGCCTGATCAACCTGCAGGACAGCACGCGCCCCAGCTACACACTCCATGTCTGAAGCTCTGCAGTTCCACAGTGCTCCTTCCCTATGCCCTACCACGAGGCACAGGTCTCGGTGTCAGCCTCAGCTGAAACCCGCAGCTTCCCACTGTGCTGCTCTGTCCTGAGGCACAATTTCTGCCATCGCTCCTCATCTCAGAAGTCCCTAGGCTGACATCCCAAGCCAAGCACCACTTTCTTAGGTTCCTCCCCAAGGTAGAAGACATGAGGCACTTGGCTCAGGCTGACAAGGCATCTGGCTTCGGCGTGAGGTGTTCAGTGGGGCAGTGAGACCAAGGCTCAGAGTCGAGCTCCCACCCAGCCTGTCCCTGTAGAGGAGCCACACATGACCGGGGGGATCTGCTTTGCACTGTGTGGCCCCAGCTGGCAATCGAGTGAATGGTGATTTGGAGTTGTTCTGGATACCATGGATGCCAGATGCACTGCTTGTTGAAAAGTGGGAAGCAGATGTCACCTGAGTAGGTCCAGAGCCCAGCACTGCACCTTGTCTCTAGGTCAAAAGACAGAGTTAAGGACAGGTAACAGTCAGGTGTCAGCCATGTGTCCAGAGGGGACACTCACAACAAAGCAGCTGCCCCTCCTCTGCAGCTCTCTGCCTTTCCATGTGTTCCCACCACAAATGATGCACAAGGGAGTTTCACTTCTGTCCTGAGAGGTCTGTGTTTCAGTGTGGCTCTAGGTGAATAGAAGCCCAGGATCACTGTGATTAGAAAAAAGATACTGCAGAGCAGGGGTGGCGAACCTATGGCACGAGTGCCACAGCAGGCTGTCTGTGTCACTGAAAGCTGATCACTGTCCTAAAGCATGAATGAAAACAGAGACATCCCCGTGTCACCTGAGCTCTGACCTTGCCTGTCTGGTTACTGGGTAGAATGAGGATGGCAAGCTCTTCTGACCTGAAGGTCCAGGAAGTGATGGAGATTTTGAGCCATGGATATTTCTATAGGTTACTTCTCATTGCCTTCGAAGAGCAGTCAGGGTGACACACAGACTGATGGTTCTCAGAACAGCCATGCTTTAGGATCATCCTGGAGCTTTAGGAAATACCAGTGCCCAGGTCTCCTCAAGTGTGACAACTGTTTTGGGTAGGACCTGAGCATTGCTATTTTTGTAAAAATCTCTCAAGGCAAACTATTAATTCCGCTGAAAGCCAGCACTGAGGACTGCAATCCACCAGGCTTTGAGATCAGAGTTCGCATGTGTGGATGATTTCTGGCCCAGGCTCATGAGCTCCACAGGCCCTACCACGGGGACACCTGGGTCTCATCCAGCAAACGATAGCGCAGGGTTCAGAACAATTTATAATCATTCTGCTAAAAGTGAAACCCACAGACCTGGCAGAGCTCTCCCTCCCTGGGCTCGAGATAGCACCTGTGCCTCCCCACATTCCTGCTTTTCTTTGGGAGATAAGAGGTCTTGTGGTTTTTAAATAGTTTCCCTATCTGCCAAAAGTATTTCTGTAATTTAAACTTTTAACAACAGATTCCTACCCTCCAAGAAGTTGAAATCACGTCCCATCTGTATGTACATTTCATTTCCTTCAGTGAAGGTCTTATAAATTTCAATAATATATTCATTGGAACCCAAGTGCACATGATAAAAGTAGCTTCTGGTGAATATTAATTCAATCAAACATGTGTATCCACTGTTTCCTGATCTAATGTCATCTCTGTTGAACTTTTAGCAGAAATTCAACTGGATTATAGAAGAAAACAGCAGAAGCTCACAATGTTAATAAAGCCAGCTTAATATTAAAATAAAAACAAAAACATCATATATTAGTGAATGTCACAATAAGAAACAAAGAAGACCCTCCTCTGAATTTCTCCCTATATCCTTGGTTCCCCTGCTTCAAAATCTACCCTGTGTCCCTCTGGAGGAGGTCTCCAGTGTGACACCCCCAGGCCCTTGTCCCAGGAGGGTCATCACCTACCAGGGTCTCAGCATCCCGACAGCTGCTCATCGCTTCTCATCCCTCCCATTTCTGTCACCACCACATCAGTCACATAAATCCTCCTCCTCCTCGTGCAGGAATCCAGGATGCTCTCTCTCCGCCCCGGGTCAGCCTATGCCCGGCTGGCCTATGAGGCCCTTCCAGCTCTCAGCCTTGCACCCTGGAGCCGCCCACACACAGCACTCTTGGCACTGTGACTTCTCTCACCTGGGTCACAACAGGAACATTTGTCATCGCCTATTTTGTTTAAAAAAAAAAAAGCCTATCCTTAAAAACCCGACCTCTTACGCAGTAACTCGTTGTCCATTTGTTCACTTGCCAGTCATTCAAGAAACTCAATTCAGTGGGTGTTAGTAGAAGCCTGGAATCAACACATCAACTCCAATTCCATGTGATTTTTTTCATGGACTTTAATCAATATTGCTCCACATATTAATTAGGGACAGAAAGAGCAGCATAGAGAAAATATAAATTAAATCTATCAAAAGGAAAGTTACGCTATATGATAATTAAGTGAAAATATTTTGCATATAGTAAACATTGGCAAAATACAAGAGATTATTACAGTTGCTGTTTTTATTGATTCTTGAACCCCTGAGAATCGTGGCAGGATGCTTCTGGCCCTGGACTCTACCGCAGCCTGCTTGTCTCATACCTGGGGCTCTGCCCTCACAGTTCCCACAGCACACACGTCTGCTCCTGCCCCTGCTTCTGGTCTGCATTTAAGTGGATCCTTAACCTGGTTCTCTGGTGGTGGGTGTGGCTTGGAGGAAGAGCCCTTGCCTCCCTGTGCCAGGCCTGGCTCATCCTCAGCACCGTGGAGGCCCAGTCCCCGAAGCCTCTATCTGCAGCTCCCCCGATCCTCCCCACTGCCCACAGGAGGGCCCGCCTGGAGGGTGCACCTGGCTGGCTGAGGGGTCAGGACAAGGACTGGGCATCTCTCTGAGGCTGGTTCTTTTGCATCTCTCCCTCAGAATGAGGCCCCGAGGGCCGAGCCTCTTCCCGCCCTGGTGCCTGACTTTGTACACTCTTCAAGGCTGGGGTGGTAACTGTCCTTGCTCGCCCGCCTGTTGTTGGCTGGATCCGCCCAAGAGAAGCAGGCTGGGTTTTGCTCCAGAAGCTCCCAAGCTCTGTGCAAACCGCTCCCACAGCTTCACTTTCTCTGCAGCAGGGTGTCCCCCAAGGCACAGGTGGCAGACTTCTCACTGTGTTAAGAATTTGAACGCTGGGCATGGTGATCCATGCCTAAATCTCAGCACTGGAGAGGCAGAGGCAGGAGGATCACCTTGAGTTCAAAGCCAGCCTGGGCTCCAGGGTGAGACCTTGTCTCAAAGAACAAAAATCAAACGAAAAAGAATTTGAAAACCTGTGGCCATTTCTATGTCAAATGCAGTAACGTTTCACTCTACTTACAAGCAGTATACTCTCATGTTAAATTTTTATCTGTAAGCTGCTGGGTTACTTGACATCTTATACTTTTGACTCTAAGAATTCAAGTTTTTATTTTTTTAATTTGTAGAATTTTTATTAGTGCATGTTTGCCACACATAATGATTACATTCATCCTGGGGAGTGGGTACATGGACATAATACATCCTAATTCTTTTTTCTTCCCCTTCTCTCCCTCCCTTCCCTCCAAAGAAATTAAAAGGGAAAAAAAAATCCAAATTAAAAAAAAAATCTGACAAGCATTTAAATGTTCACAGCTCAAAATGACAGTAAGTTCTCTCAAGCTTTTACCCCAGAGGAATGAACATATACGTTCACACAAGGGCCTGTGTGGAAATGTTCATAAGAACTTTATTTCTGGGAGTCAAATATCCACAACAACCTGAGTCCCCCGTGACCCGAGAACAGAGAGGAACCGACCGCCCCACAGGGCAGTAAGCCAAGCAACCTGTGTAGACAGGAAGAGCAGGGCAAACCTCGGGGACTGTGACTCGCACACACTCACACAGCACTCACAGGGGTGCTGTGGCAGAGGGCCCAGGAGTGCTGGATGCTCACAACCACTTCCTCCGGCCTGAGTGATGTGAACAGGGTGCTCAGAGAGTGGGGGAGGCAGGGAGCCCCGCTTGTTTCAATACTAGAGTTAGAAAAAAAGCCTGGTGTCCTAGGACTCGGGAGGCTGAGGCAGGAGGATCACTGTGAGTTCAAAGCCATCTTGGGCTACATAGTGACTTCTAGGCCATCGTGAACTATATAGCAAGAACTTGTTTCAAAAAACCAACAAATAAAAAGAATTAGGAGGAATTCTTAACAATTTTTAAATTTAATGAAATCCCTCAAATTTAAAGGATGACTATGCATGCAGAGAGAAAGCAGCCTGGAGGAAAAGCGTCATCCAGGGTACCAGAGGTGAGCCCAGGGGCCGAGGTCCAGTGTCCTTCCTAGTGACCTTCACGCCATACTAACCCTTGGCCTTGCCGCCCTGCCCTGGAGCCAGCCGACCACAAATTGAAACCTTACAAACTGTGAGCCAAAACAAACCTCCCTTCCCTTAAACTGTGGCCATCAAGTGTTGAGTCCCAGTGGTGAGAGGGTGACTAAGACACGTGAGACGATCTCCCAATGCTTGGTTCTAAAACGCATGCGCACTGATAGCGCCTTATAGCACTCGGGGTCTCCCTCAGTGCCCGAGCTTTAGGAGCACTGAGAGTATTGGTAGAAACCGGCTCTGGGCTGGGGGCAGTGGGGGCTTCCAGGGAACCGGTGGGCACTGTCACCCGAAAGCCTGAGGGGCAGCCCGGCCTTTGCAGCGTGATGCGGCACCAGGCAGTGCGATTGAGCCCGATTCATAAATGCCCACCTCGGGCGAGCCACTCCCACTCTGTGAGGCTTCGTCCCTCCACAAGGGCGGTGGGAGAGAGGACAGATCCTTCCTGCTCGTGAGCAGCCTGTGCAAACCCGAGGGCGGCTGCTCTGCCACAGGGGCTGTGACTCGGTCGTGGTTTCTGAGGTCGTTCTTCCAGACGGCCCTGGAGGACGGGAAAACCACAGAGGCTTGGTGATTTGAAACAGTACGTGTTCCACAAAGGTCCCGGGGGCAGAGCTGCATTCTGCTTGGTGCTGTGCAAAAGCCGGGTCTCCCCCACTGTGTCCACGGAAGGAAGGTGGCTCCTTGTCTCTGGATGAGGCTTTGCTAGCCACGGAGGACAGGCTCACTGGACAGTGCCTCATGGGATGCTGGAGCTGGCTTCTGCCCCTGCTCATGGGGCTGGGCTAGCCCAGGCTCATGGCTGCTCCATTTACCTGCGTGGCACTGGTTTCCATGCCCTATGCCCAAATACATGGCATGGCACAGCATACGGTTTGTCTGCTCTTTCCCAGCCCAGGACACATTAGTGCCACGTTTACCATAACAGATGTATGGTGAAAAATTTTTGTAAAATGTAGGCATTAATTGCGAATTGTTCTATGGTCCCATAAGAGAGGGTGAAGTATGCTTTAAAATATTTGTTTTCTGTCAAGGCAAAGCAATGCCGGACACTTGATAACGGCAGTGGGACAGATCTTACTTTACACAGGTGAGTGCCGCAGAGCAGAGGGGCCCACGCAGAGCTCACTGGCCACGCCAGGATGCTGGGACAGAGAGGGCCTGGGGCCAGCACCTCTCCTCCCCTCCCGCCCTGCTCTGACCCCTCTCTGTCCCTGATGACCTCCCTTTCCCTAAGCTCCCTGTGTCACGGCACCTGTAAGTCCCTTTGGCCAGGGCTTCCCAGCTCCTGCCCTCCCCGGCTCCCGCTCTTCTTGGTATGAAGGCAAACTGTTCTCGGCTGCAGTTCTGTGGAGACAGATCCTGGACCTTGGCATGGCAGGACTCCGACCGAGACATGGGGCGCTGTGAGAGGCGGTGGCCTGCCCTCTGGCTCCCACAGCAGTGAGAACGCTGAGACCTGCACCCCACACACTGCAGAGCTCAAGCAGCCGTGCTATAAAGTCGCTCTATGACGACTCATTTCCACATGACTCCTCTGCTCTCTTTTGGGTTCCTTATGATTTTATGCTCTTAAATACACGTACCAGTTATTTATGGTCTCAACAATGCTGTGAAAGACACCACCCCAAACCCAGGGACTTTTACATCCAGGCTAGCACTCTGCTGTCCTGCCGGGCTGGCCACGGGCTCCCCAGGTGTACCCCAGACAAGGCCAGCTGTCTGTGGACTTGTCTGTGGTGGCCTTGGCTGGGGCAGCTGGGGCGGCTGGGGCAGCTGGGGCAGCTGGGGCAGCTGGCGCCAGGCCGTGTGTCCACACCCAGTGCCTCTCCTGTCCCGAGTGTGTTCACCTGGGTGTGTTCTCAGGGCTGCAGAGTGGTGAGAGAGGAGAGAATGCAGACTTCCTCAGGCCCTGACTTGCTCCTGTTGGATGCCTTCCCTTTACCTCTCTCTTCCCCCCGGGGTCCCTAGGGCCCAGAAGAGGGAGTTTGAAGGCCAAGCCAGTGCCCATCTGCAAGAGGAGGACTTTAGCAAACTTCCCAGAGTGTCTTGGAGAACAGGGTGGTAGGTTGGGTCCCGCAAGCTACAGCTCTGTGGCTTGGTCTCCGGAGCCTGTGGGGACACAGGCTTTTAATCATACCACTTACTGGGGACCCTGAGGCTTAGAACAGAGGGAAAGACAAGATTTGTGAAGAAAGGGGAAAGGTAGAAACCTTGTAATACCATCAGACTCCCCCACTTTGCCTTTCAATTCCTGTGCAATCGCTCAGCACACCAGAGAGAAGATGCTGACCCGACCCGACCACGGGACTAGGAAACCACAGAACCAGCATTTGTCCAGACAATCTGGCTTTAGGACTAAGGTCCTTCCTCAGCCTTGTATTTAATCCTAATCAGAACCTTCTCTATGTGGAAGGATTTCTTCTGGGCTACCTATACATAAGCCTTTAAGAAAAATGAGTCTCAAAATCAATAAACTTCTTCTCTTGTAAAATAAATGATTAAACTTTGCAATTCTTTCTGAAAACATGCCTTTGCATCGTGCTTTATTAATTAGCTTCCTGTTTAATCAATAGCCAGTTCTTAGTAATCATCTGCATAAACTTCCTGGTCTGATGCAGAGAGGGATGCAGGCCACTCAAGGTTGGCACAGCCAAACCTCTGCAAACACAGAGCACTCGCACTGGCCCACCAGGGAATATGTGCCAACCACTGTCCCCACTGTCCCTTCACTGATGACGCAGCCGGGCACAAAACGATTAGTTTCTGGAGGTGGGCCTATAGGCTCCTGGATCCTGGCCTATCTTGTGGTGACAAGTCTGGGCAGTGCAAACTGCCAGCTGCTGATGTGAAACCATGTTTACCGAAGATTAACATGAAACAGTGCTTTTAAATTTTGTAGGGACAATTATACACACTTGACTGCAGACTGACACCGTTTTCTGTACTCAGGTTAAAATGTCACCATTCAGAGCACTGAACTTAGGACCACCACACCGAGTCCATGTTAAGAGGTGCTCTTGCAGCCTCGTCATTCTGACCAGCTTCCGGTGACACCCTGAAGAGTCTGTGAGGACCAAGAGTTTGGCTTCCGCACCCATCGGGCTGCTTCGAGATAAGTTTTAACCTGTGGAGCTCCTTGGCATACCCTGAGGGGCTGGCAGAAAGTGTGCCAGGCAGGGACTGCTCCTCCCACGAGGCGGTGACTCAGCAGCCTCTCTGTGCCCTAAAATCTCTTTCCCCTCCAGTCCCTCCTTTCTGATGAGCTTTAGGGTCACCCTAGAGTCAGTGTAAGAGAATGAAGCTGTCGAGTTCAAAGAAAGGTGACTCAAGTGATTCAAAGCGATGAGTAAATACCAAGAGAAAATGTAAAAGGAAGGGGAAGTTTTCTCATCACAGTCATGGATTTTTCAGGAGATATTGTCCAATTTTTCCATAAGCTTGTGAAAATCAGTCAGAGGAAGTAGGCTTGAATTAAGAAATACTACAGCCGACAGGGAAAAGAAGGTGGGTCTTTCAGTAACTAATACACTACAGTGATGTCTCTGTTGTAAGGAGTTGTAGATAACATATGGGAAAATAGCTCCTGACACATGCTGAGAATTTGGTAAGTATTTTTGCCTGTGCAACTTTTCCGAATCAGAAGTGTGTGCTGAATGTTACTTCTGACCCCGTGCATGCACTTGGCCAGGTCTGCGGTAGACATCAGACCACAGTGCACACTTGGGAAGCACACTGCTCTACGAAAAGTTTGATAAAGCATGCAACAAACAATAGTAAATGGATTGTCTTAGTGTAAAAGTTCTTGGTTCTTCAAAATTCTAACATGCAATTTCAATAAAAAAGATGCCAGTTCAATAGGAATTTTGACAAACTCATCTCCTGGCAGGCCCTGTTTTCCATTTCCCTACAAGTGTCTCCTACAACAGAGACATTGAAAGTCCCTCTAAGAGTTGTAGCTCTGAGCTCAACTTAGGGCAAAGGTAATTCCTACTCCTACTTAGGTAGGACACAGTAGGTTCCAATCACTGTCACGTTGCTAGTCAAACATCTCTGAGAATCCCGTGATTTTCTCTCAGCTCCAGCCTCTACCAAGACCTCCTATAGATCTGCTCCGCAGAAGGCACTGTTCTTACTTCCTGCCATGGCTTGTGTCTAGATGTCCCCCTAAAGCCTCGTGTGGTCATAGATGAGCTTTTCAGAGGTGGCTGGATCTAGGGTGTGTGATGCTGGGATTAAGGGTCTGTGGTACTAACTTAGTCTACTGATTGCTTTGGCATAGTTCTGGGTGTGGCTAATGGGAAAGCCTACCCTGGGTATGGGTGGCACCTCCCAAAGGGTGGGATAAAAGGGAGGGGCAGGATGCTGCTTCTGCTTTGCTACTTTGCTGCCTTCTGCCCACCCTGAGCTGTTTCTCCTCTGCTATGCTACACTGCCTTGGAGCCAGCCAGCTATGAACTGAAACCTCTACAAACTGTGAGCTAAATAAACCTTTTTTCCTTTAACTCTGGATATCGGGTATTTTGTCTGAGCAATGAGGAAAGTAACTAAGACACTTCCTCTGCCACTCCAGTGCCCTCTTTCCTCACAGAGTGCTGAGACCAGCAGAGAAAGGTCTGGTGGGGCTAGGGTGCAGCTCACTGGTGCAGCACTTGCTTAGTATGCATGAGGCCCTGGGCTCCACCCCCAGTACCACACAAATGGATGAATTAGTTAATAAAAAGATTTTGTATATAGTGATTGCATCATGAGAAAATGCCTTAATGTTTAGCAGTAAAAACATGAGACAAGGAGTGGGCTTTGCAGCATCAACTGGGTAAGGCAAGGCCTATGGCACACATTGGAGAACTTCCTGTCTCTGGAGGAAGAGCCCCCAGTCCTGGAAGAGGCAGTTATGAAACAGCGTGAAGAGGGAGTGACTGATACCTGTGCATGTGCCTCATGTGATACACCAAGCTCCACAGCACTCTCAATGCTGGTTGCTCAGTGGATCTCAATGAGGGCTTTTACCCCCCTCATAAAGTCCTGCGCTGAGCTGAAGGCCCACAGAGGGAGGGACACTATTCATTGTCAGCTGGACCCCAGCATACTCTGTCTCTATGGTTAAAAATGTCTGGCCAGAAGTGAGTAGAAGGAAGCCAGTGGATTTTCTATTACAGCATTGTCTCCATGGGCTCTGTTTCACCTTCTGTTATCACCAGTGTGGAGACCTTGATTCTGACTAAAGGCACAGGGATTTGATGCTCTGGGAAAACTAAGAAAGTTACAAAGTAATGTGGGTGAACAATTTCCAACTGGAATTTCAAAATACTGAAACAAGGTAATAAACTCCTCTATTCCTTTTGAGGCTGTTCAACATGCTGAAGTTGTTGGAAGTCCCTGCTCTTCACAGACTGACCTGAGGGGAACATGGCTCCTTGGGCTGTACATGGATCTGCACCTACTCCTGTTGCTGATGGTCTTGTTCCTTCATGTTCCTCCCCCACTGCCCACCCGCTGTCCAGCCCTTTCTCCAGCTCTGTCCACAGACGAGGTTAAGTCTGCCCAGGGCAGAGTGGACTGTGGACAGAGCCTTGGCATGTCTACAGCTTGACGGGGGGAGGAGGGGCACATGTTCCTACAGACACCAGCATGCCAGCATCTGACAGAGAGCAGCATTTGGATTTCTGTTTTGTCCAGAGGAAGTCTTTCTATGAATTCTTCAACAAAGACATTTGCTCTCCTGAGAACACGCAGGTCACCATTCCAACCAAGATACTTATGAGAGCAAAAGGACAGAGTGAACAATTACATTGGGCAACAGACATAAAGTAGCACTCTCGTGGGAAAATATGAATACATGACCCCCGACTATAATCAGACTTCTCCATCTTATGCTCAGCCTGCCCTAGTTAAGTACTTTTGTCCAATGATTTTATTGAAAATGAAAGTGACATTTGATGGAGAAAATAATTTGTTTCCATTTACAAACTTTGAGAAGACCGTGGGAAACTAGACAGAAGGCTTAAGGCCCCACTGACTTTCCCTGTGTACACGGAGGAGGGAGCAGTGGACTGATCCTCCTTAGGCAATGAACCGGCCTGCTGGCACACTGCAAGTTCCACAGGTGAAGTCAACAAGCTGAGATCTACTTTAGGGAAATACTTACCTGGGTACACTTTGCAAATAATGAGAAACAGATGAGTTGTCCATTAACTTAACTGCTTGCTCCCTTGCCTAAATTGAATAAAAGTAAGGTGACCCAGACGCCCAGGGCTTTGTCCTCTAGAGGCAAGAGTCTTCTGTCCCCCTTTCAAAATTATCTCTGTGTCATGTCTTTAATATCCATTCATCCCCTCTGGTTAGGCATTCCTAGCAAGCTGGTTTCCTGCAGAAGACTGTATAATGTTTATGTAATTTACTATAACACATCCTGAATTTATTCATTAGCAAACTAACATCACAGCTTTGTATTATCCTAACCAGCTTATTTTTTTTATTATCCTAACCTATCTCTGCTTCATAAAGGAAAATAGAGAACTTGTCCATCAAGGATTGGAATTTAGTAATCTTGAAGGTTAAGAGTTTTAATTTAGCTTTTACACCACATTCAGTGATGTTTCATTATCTGCACATGGAGACACATGGCATATTTATAAAAAATACAAATTCTGATTATGAGGTGAAACTAAAACAAGAAAACAAGTTGCTAAAATAAGAGTCTGAGTGAGACATTTTAATACATTAGTGCTGAAGAATTAGTTGAAAAGGCCGGTCTAGGCCAAAGGAGACAGCTCTAGGTCTGTCTCCCCACAACAGAGCAAGGAGCTGTGTAGAGAGGATGCTGGTACATGAAGAAACCTGCAATACAACTGCCTCTACAGAGCATCCAGCAGCCCTGCCAGCCCCCCACCTCCCCAGAAACAGGCACGTCCCCCACCCGAGAGGAGGTGGGGAAGTGGGTAGTGAATTCGGATCCACCTGGGAGGGGGGAGTGGAAGTTCCCGCCCAGGAGAGCGGAGAGGCAGCAGCCACAGTTGATTGTGGAAGAATCACACAAGAATAACACTTCAGAGACTTCAACTCAACCTGCTTCAACAGTTCAGGGAGCTCATATTTCTCATATTGCTCAGCAGATATCATTAAGAGGATCTGTGCCAATGACAGTTGTACCTCTTCCTGGAGAGCAAATACAGGTTCAGGGGGTCATCCAGGCAGCTCAGTCTTCTGTAATTCACCCACCTCATGTGCAAATGGTAGGCTTTATCAGAAAGTGAAGAGCCTCAGGACTCATCTGACAGCATAGGCTCCTCACAGAAAGCTCACGGGATCCTAGCATGGTGCCCATCCTTCAGAAAAATTTTGAAAGACCTGTCTTCTGAAGATACATGGAGCAGAAAAGGACATGGAGAAAACCCTGGAGTTCCCACTGTCACTTCTATGTCTGTTCCGACTCCCATCTATCAGACTAGCAGTGGACAGTACACTGCCATTGCCCCAAATTGGAACCTTACAGTTGGCCAGCCTGGGAACAAATGGTGTACAGGGACTTCAGACATTAACCAGGACCAATTCAGGCAGTACTCAGCAAGGTACAATTCTCCAGGATGCACGGACCTCTGATGGACAGCAAATACTTGTGTCAGGCAACCAGGTGGTTGTACAAGCTGCATCAGGAGATATGCAAACACATCAGATCTGTACCACACCTTCAGCTACTTCACTGCCACAAACTGTGGTGATGACATCTCCGGTGACTCTTACATCTCAGACAACTAAGACAAATGACCCCCCAACTGAAGAGAGAAATAAGGCTGATGAAAAATAGAGAAGCAGCTCGAGAATGTCATAGAAAGAAAGAATATGTGAAATGCCTAGAAAATCGAGTTGCAGTCCTGAAAAATCAAAATAAAACTCTAATAGAAGAGTTAAAAACTTTGAAGGATCTTTATTCTCATAAAAGTGTTTGATTCTTTAAAAAGAATATTTTTGCGGACTTCTCCAAAAAGTTAGATGGATTTCTTTGTAGTGGAGCTTTATAAATTAAAAGGTCAAAAATGAAGCTAATTTTTATATAGGCTTTTGCAAATCAAAGATGAATGCCTTATCCAAGAGACTTGGTGACAGAGGATACAATGGAAAGTGACATCAAGGAAGCTACTGGCACAACTGGAAGCTTTGTAAAAATTAAACATAAGAAGCAAGAAATAAACTTTCAGCAGTGCGAACATTTTAACTAGTCATCAGTCCAAAAATGGCAGAGAAGTCATCAATCCAAATTTTGTAAATAGAACTTTAAAAAATAAATCAGTTTCCCTTATAGGTTTGCATTTCTGTTTCCTGAAATTTACCTTTTTCAGGGGTGTGTGTGTGTGTGTTATTTCTACCAATAAATTCTAAATTAAAAAATTAAAATGATACATTATGAAATATATAAATTACGTGTTCTGATTATGTATACTTATTTTAATGTCAGATCTTCTAAATGGGTTTTTTAAAGTCTGTTGGACTTGAGATGATTTTTTGAGACTGGATTAACTATTTTTGAGGTCTTGTCCTAAAAGGAATCTAAGGTACACAAATGGAGTGTGGTGATTTTGTAACACTTTTTATCAGAATGAAAAGAGAACTGTTTAAAAGTTTGATGCTTTTAAATAGTTTGGTTTTAGCTTACTCCAGTAAGGGTGATTTTCTTTTTTTTACAAAAACAATAAATTGGTTTTTTGATTCTATACCCTATATGCGGTTAAATATCTATTACTTATTCTGTTGTGCTTTAATAGGATAAAATGTTTACAGGCCCTTAAAATATATTTTAAAAACCTTCTCAAGATTCCAAGAGGACTTTATAATCAATTTAATGTAAAGTTTATCAGGTTCTGAAATAGTACAGTTATTAAGGCAACTTTATGTTAGAGACTATTTTGTAATGTAGTGAATGGTACCTTCATAAGCAAAGTGACTGCCAATATATTTTTATAGCTAATCTATAAATTTTAATGTTGAGTTTTTAATGATTTTTTAAATGTTCATATAGTTTAGTAAAAAAGATTTTGCATCTCAAAGTATCACTTTTATATATGGGAAGTAAAGCTTTCAAATTAGCTAATATTTGAATTGTATGTTTTATATGCAGTTTACCTAAAGTTTGAAATGCTGTCAGTATACCAGTGTTTAACCTCTGTACTCTAATTTGTATACACTTTGAAACTGTACTGCAGAACTAGTGTGTGCTTCTTATATAATAAGTTTCATATTGTCTATGAAATTAAAGAACATTGATAAAAAAAGAATTAGTTGAAAAGCTGAGATGCCAAAACTGTAATTGACCAAGAAAATAGGAATGCAAACCAAGTGACAAACCTCTGTGACCTCCTGTGTGCCAGACACTGCTAAGCATTAGAGATTCAAGTGTGGAGAAGTAGAGCTTCTTCAGGAAATTAAATAATGTGGTTTGAAAAAACATTGCTGAAAACTAAATACAACGTACCTGACAGAACCAGGCAAACTATCCGTTTTTCCAAGTAGGATCTGGACAGGCTTCAGATGGAGAGAAAGAAGAGGAGAAGGAGAGATAGGAAGGGAGCAGTTGACAGAGTAATTGTATCTGCACCTGCACAACGTTAGCTTCATCTTGGAAGGACTTAGGCTAAACAAGGCACTTCTAACTGTGGGAAGGCACATATTTCTGTCTATTAGAATGGAAGCTGGTAGTTTATATCCCAGGCCAAGGGCACTCAGTTTGAAGGTCTTGCTCTGATCTTGGGTCAGCAGCAAAAAGAGCTCAGCTGTAAGGTGTTATTCATGACTCCGTCTCTAATCTATACTCACCTTTGCTCCTGAAGAGCAGCCACAGGGAGTTCTGCATCCCCAAGCAGAAGGTGTGGGCCTTTCTCTGCTTCACCCAAACAGCTACCCTGCAGTGTGGGTCTTCTGACCTTCACCTGCCCAGGTCAACTCCAACAGCAAGGGGAAAAAATTTACATGTAGATGCATGGGCTTAAATGGTGGAGAAAGAACAAACGAAAAACCCCAAAAAGATCTCCTGGAAAATTGGTAAATTTTAACTGTAAAAGACTGGCCTAAGTTGCTATCATACTGCATTTATTACTATAACTCTATAATAAGTCTTGGATATCTGTTAGTGAAAAAAATCCCTTCCTCCTGGTTTAATTTTTTTTCAAATTTTTCTTAGTTATTTTTGGATATTTAGTAGTTTTAAAAATTTAATGATGCATTTTATTTAATCCAATGTATACAAAATTCCTTCAACATAAAATGTGACACACTGCATCTTAATTTAGACCTGACACGATAGGCGCTCAGTGGCCCCTTGAAGCCGATGGCACTGCGCATATGACTATGTTTCTTTTCCTTTGCAAATGATTTTTTGAATTTCTTGTTAAGCTTTTGGGCAGAAAAAACTGGACTCTTGTCTCCATGAGGATTGCATTTCTGAATCTCTGTTTTCTTTTTAATTTCCTGGACAATTCACAGCTTTACAATATCAGCATGTCTCTATTTAGGTCCTCACTCCTATGCATCAAAATATTTTATGGTATTCTACATGCGAGTCTTGCATATGGGGGTCTTTCAGGCCACACTTAGCATGCACTCTGATACAGTGAGGGTCCTTAGCCATAAACACATGGTTTTCGTAAATGACAAAACCAAGACACTGAGAACTGAGACACCTGCCCAAGGAACCTGGCTAGGTGTTCAGGATGGACAAGTTCCAGAGCCCCTAGGAGAGTCTCTCCTACCTGCTGCTGCTGCCCAAGGAGCTTCACAAGGCCAGAAAAGAAAAAGGCTGCAAGGACCCAAGTTCCATCCCGGGTACCAAAAAAAGAAAAGAAAAGAAAAAAGCTGACCCCACGCTTGGCCTGGTGGCCAGAGCCGCCCACATGCGGGGGCACCCTGGCTCATCCACCACTTCCTGTGTGGAAAACAGGCCCCAGCCCAGAGGCCTCTATCTCATTTTCTCTAGTCTCTCACATATTTTCCACCCCGGGAACTGGGAGCCTGGGTCTTTCATGAAGGCTTCCCGGGTGCCTCTCCCTCGCCGGGCCCACTGACACATAGCTGTGTTCTCTCACCTTGGCCAGGCACCAGGCATCCAGAGGTCATCGCGCCTGGGGCTGCCTCCTCCAGGCGGTAACATGCCTATTTCACTAGTCTGGCAGATGTGTTTCGTCTCTTAGTCTTCTGTCCAACTTTTGGAAAGAATGGAATTTTGGAAATACCTTCTTGCACTTTCAGCGTTCCTAGGCTGATCTACCCTGGCAATCGCGGTTTCCCCACCGCCCCGCTTCCAGGAAACTGCCCTGAGATGCGTTTTCCTTTCATATCCTTCCTGGTAATACGAGCTCAGGTACGGACTGAGGCAATTTAAGAAAAATATTTCCAAATGCCCTGAGATCACGTTAAGAATTCAAAGAACAGGCCCGGGGATGTAGCTCAGTGGCACCGCTGCTGCCTCGAAAGCACAAGGTCCCGAGTTTGATCCTTGGTACCAAAGAAAAAAAGAAGAGGAGAAGGAGGAGGAGAAGGAGGAGAAGGAGGAGGAGAAGGGGAAGGGGAAGGGGGAGAAGGGGGAGAAGGGGGAGGAGGAGGAGGAGGAGGAGGAGGAGGAGGAGGAGGAGGAGAATTCAATGAATAGGAGACACCTGCTGGAGGAGGAGGAGCTCTTCCCTCTGTTCTCTTGGAAGCGCCGGCGTCCAGAAGTGACTGCAGGGACTCGGGACAGGAAGTAGCGCCAGACACCTGGCCTGGGCAGGGAAGGCGCTCCCACCCCTGCCGGCAGCGGGAGGTGGGGCAGGGACGGGGGAGGGGACACCAAGCAGGTGCGCGGCGGGAGTCAGGTGAGCAGCGGGGCAGGGGAAGCAGGGACACCGGGCGGGGGGGGGGTGGGGTGGGGGCTGGGCGGAGGTGGGGATACCGGGAGGGGGGAGGGGGGAGGGCTGGGAAAGGGGCGGGGACACAGGGGTGAGTCAACGCTCGCGCGGATCAGGCTCGCCCCAACTTCGGATCCGGCCCTGGGGCGCTGTTCGGCCCCTGCGTGGACTTCGGCTCCGGAGACTCGACACCGAGACACCGAGCGGCCGAATGCGCTCCCTTCCAGCTCCGAACGCGCCCCGGGACCCCGCGCGCCAGAGCGCCGTGGAGCGGCTGGCGGCCGACCGCGCTCGCTTCTCTCGCGGCCCCGGGGGCGGCAGGGGCCCCACCTCCGAGGACTGCGGCTCGGCGGACAGCAAGGACCTCGCTTCGAAGCCCCGCGGCCCGGGCGCACCCGGCGGCGGGCAGCAGCCCATCGCTCCTGGCCCCGCGCTGCGCGTCCCCGCCCCAGTGTCCCGCCGGGCGGCCCCGCGCCGGCCGCTGAGGCCCGACTCGCTGGTCATCTACAGGCAGAAGTGCGACTTTGTCCGCTGCCCGGGCTCCGAGGGCCCCCGGGCCAGCCTGGTGAAGAAGCTCTTCCCGGGCCCCGGCAAGGACAGGACGCCCGACCCCCCCGCGACGCCGCAGCTGGGGGTCCCCGCGCGGACCAAGCCCAGCTCCGCGACTTCTGAGAACCCAGGGAACCCCAGGACCCCGGGGGCCCAGCCTGCGCCCCCCGGACGCCCCGCGGTCCCCGGGACCCTCGGAAGCTTCGCGGCCCCGGGGAACCGAGCTGGGACCTCACCCCCGCAGGCGGCGCCGCGCGCGGAGCTGCGGCGCTCACACTCGGACCTCAGCCGGCGCAGCTGCGACCCCGGGGCCGAGCGCGACGCCTTCTTCCAGTTCTGCGGCCTGGACCCGGAGGTGGTGGAGGCACTGGGCAGGGACAACTTCTCCGCGGGCTCCGACCGCGCGGCCCTCAAGGTGCGCAGCGCGAGCGTGGCCACCTCGGACGGCGGCTTCTCGCGGCACAACGGCGGGGAAGACGACGACGGGCTGCAGGAGGAGGCGCTCACGGAGCAGGTTCCCAGCACCACCTCGATCGTGGAGAGGAACGCGCGCATCATCAAATGGCTGTACACCTGCAGGAAGGCCAAGGAGACCCCCGGCCAGGGGCTGCAGGGACCCGCGTGACCGCCCTCGCTGGGGACCAGGATCAAGGTAGGCGCCTGGAAATGCTGGGGGAGCGGGCTGCGCGTGCATGTAGGCCAGAGATTGGCGACCCAGCTGGGTGCGGATTCCAGCCGTGCTTGGGGTTCACCCCCTGCAGCTAGAAGGGACCCCAGAGATGGAGATGCAGTAGCTTCTGGATAGTCACTGAAGCCAGAGCAGAAAGAGTTAGGGTTAGGGTTCTTTTCAGTGGGCTGCATCTGCTGTCACTGTAAGTTAATATCGTCCCACTCAGCTTACTATTGTGAAAAAAGGAGAAATCAGAATTATAGATTGCTGTCAGCCAGCAGTTTCACTCCCCTGCTATTACCATTTCCTGCAGTGAAAGTGGTCCCAGAGCCCAGGGCCTATGTGCAACGGGCCAAGCACCCTGTGGCCCCACCTGAGGTCCAAGCAGTCCCAGGTAAGCACTGCTGTCTCACCTGAGGCCCAAAGACAGGCTATGCGCACTTTCCCTGAGGCCTTAAAATGTGAAATCTCTCCATGGGACCTTGCCCGAAGTGTGACATTCATTTAGCAAGAAAAGATCTTTAGTTGGGTACATTTTATTTAAATGGATTTGAGGGCTTTGAGTTTTTGAACTGGGTGAATTGGACCCGACTCATTCCGAGCTGCCCTGGTTCTATGGTTGGGTGATAATATAGGACATGCAGAGGCACGGGACTGAGCTCCAGCTCTTCTGCCAGGTGACCTGAGGCTTTCTGTGGGAAGCTGAGGCATGTTCATTCCCTGCTCCCTGGGGTGAGGCTTTCAGGGGGAGTACAGGGGAGAAGGCAGCACCTAAAGGCTGTCTTTGAGAACCAAGGATTTAAACATTGCACTATCTGTAAATTTTTTAAAAAATCATAATTTTGCCTGCCATTGAGGTACTAATTGAAAGTTCAGCATCATCAGGGTTAGAGCGGGGGGGGGGGGCAGATATGCCTGTGCTCAGCCCATCTGTGTTCATGGACAGAAAGAAGCCCCAAGAACTTCTCTGAGTGGCCTCAGTAAAGATGTGAAACAGCAGGAGGAGGACTTCTTGTTTGCCTGGAAACAGAAGGCTCATGCTTGAAGTTCTTCCTTATAATTTATGAAAATGTTTCCGTCTTACACTAGCTTAAGTCCCCAAACAATGTAGATAAGCATCAAATTTTTAAAAACACAGAAAGATTAGTTTGCATGTTTTTTTGTCTTCTGGGCCTGAGACGAGTGGATGCCGATGAGGGTGCCCTGCGCCCCGAGGTCCCAGGGAACAAGTCTGGCTTGGAGAGCACTGCTGTCCTGGGGCCTCTCCTGTGCCCACTGGTGCCTGGGCCTGATGCCAGGCCTGCCTGTCCACACAGTGCAGAGAGGTTGCCAGAGGTCGTCCAGCCTCTTCATTTCATTTACTTTGTGTGCAATCAACAATCTGTAAATCTATCTTTGGAGTTTGGAAACTAGGAAAAGAAAACAAAAAACCGTCGCTTATCAGGCTGTTGAAAAGCGAATGAGCTCTGTCCAAGTAGGCGATAGGTGGACTCGGGGTGTAAATAGTGGTGAAGTAACAAGAGAGCATACACACACACTCAAGTAAGAATGACAGGTTAAAATAAAGCCCGGCTGCCTCTCATCCCTCCAGACCCCATCTCCAGTGCTCCAGCATCAAATCCTAAACTGGAAGGGGATTTGGGATTTAGTTGCAGAGTGGTCTTGGCAGTGTCCTTCTCAGTTTGAACATATGAAATACATGAGAACTCTGGTTAGGCTGAGAACTTCCACCTTGAACAAAAAGACCAGTGTGGAAGCAAGAGGGAAAGTGAGGGTGAGGGTTGGAAAGTCCCAAGGGTGAAACAACACAGGTCCAAGGGCACCAGCTCCCATTGTCCCTCACCTTCTCCCCACCTTGTCCTTTCTGATCCACCCAGGGCATATGTCACTTGCCTTCTAACCTGGCTGGCATTGTTGCTCAGATCAGGGGGCAGTCCTGCAGGGCTTGCCCTGGCTCCTGTATGGTGCTGACTGTCACCATTATGGCATGTCCTTCACAGACATACTCCCTGAGGCCCACAAGGCAGGGTGCACTCTCCGAAAGCACGGGATCCCTAGAGGACTACAGGGAAGGACTGGTTGTCCTGGTGTTGTAGAACTCAAGGGCTCGGTGTCACCCCAGCACTCATGGCTTTCAAATGCTTCTTTCCTCTAAGAAGATCCGGTGGGGGCTGGAGCCCAGGCCACAGCCAGAGTGTGACATGTGCTGTATGCCAGTCCTGCCTTCCTGAGACCAGATCTGAGCCTTCACAGCACGTGAAACAAGAACTCATGCTCTGCTCTTTCTGTAGTTTACCATGACATTTGTGTTGCAATGCTTAAAGATTCTTTTTGGGATTTTATGAAAAATTCAGAAAATTTGAGATGAATAAAGGTAAGCTTTATAAGTAAAAGAATACAGCTATATTTTAGGGCCATGGATTTAGCTCAGTGCCACTGTGCCTGACTCACAAGCGCAAGGTCCTAAGTTCGATCCCTGGTACCAAAAAACAAAAAACAGATATATTTTACATGGAGGTTTTATCTACTAGACAGAGATTTATAAATTACTCCATCTAGAACTAAATTATAACTTTCTCAGTTGATTACCCTATAAGGTAAAAATGTTTGTCACAAGTGGAAATACCAGAACCAAAGGATGATTCATAGCATCTCCATGCCTCTCCTGGGACCATGTGTAGGGTATGGTTATATAGGGCTTTTGTGTATTCTCTTTCTCGTCATTTAATTCAGAAAAATAGCTCTTCCGTTTGCTAGTTCTTAGTCATCTTGTTCTTTAATTCATCAAACTGAATACTTGCCAAAAGATAGATCTTTCTGGCTTTTGAATAAAATATATAAATTGCTGGCTTTAATACTGGTATAAAAGACAAGTGATTTGTCCTTTGAGATAGGAGTAAACATTAATTTCAGAGCAAAACTTTCAGATCTTTACAGCCACCTCCACATTTCTCTGTGGTCAAGATGGGGGTTCACTTAGAAGCCCCAGACAGCATGTGAGACTGCACCTTACACTTAAAAGCTGCACAGGACACAGGACATGTGGACACATGGATGCAATGTAGGACACATGCATGGGGTACCCCACCTCTTAGGCTGGGGACATCCTGCCTTGATGCTCCTTTCTTCTACCTCTCTGGGAAGCTCTGCTGTGACCACTGGGAACACAGTCTGGGTGGACACCTTCATGGCTGAGGGCAGGTACCTTCCGTCTTCTGGCCAGCACGTGGGCCTGTTAGAGACATTGGTGTTTGACAAGCATGGATGGGGCCAGGGATTTAGCTCAGTGGTGCTGCTGCCTGCCTCAAAAGCACAAAGTCCTGAGTTCAATCCCCGGTACCAAAAAAAAAAAAAAAAAAAAAAAAAAAAAAAAAAAAAAAAAAAAAAAAAAAAAAAAAAAAGAAAGAAAGAAAGAAAGAAAGAAAGAAAGAAAGAAAGAAAAGCATGGAATCTGTTTGCTTACAAATATTTAATTGGACTTCCTTCCTTGTTTTCTGTTTTGCTGTCTGAGCCCTTGGTGGTTAGTGCTGACCTTGTCAACATTCAAAGAAGTAGGAAAAGGCTAAGAGAAATTTCGGAATCAGAGGAATGCCTGAAGGGAGACTTGCTGTATCAGAGAAGCCAGAGGACAGCTCCCTTTGATAAAGTTCTTCTCATCGTTTGAAAAACAAAGGGATGTGTTTCAAAATGCAGAGATGTCACAAAACAGACTACAAGGGGAGAGTTTGCAGGGTAATGTTTTGCAGCAGACAGGCTCTCAATCACATTTTCTCTTTGCTCCTCAGAAAGCAAACGCCCCAACAACCAGGGGACCCTGATGCCACGGGAGACAGGGGACCCCAGGGCTGTTTGTGCAGTGAACCCCAGCGACACAGGACTGCTGCTTTTCCAGTAATGAAGTACCCTACTGCCAATGCTTTCGTGACCCGAGAAGGTCTGAAGTGCTGTGGACAAGGGGGGAAGGCAGACCTTGCACGCTGGCTGAGTTAGAACTGGTAACTGCACAAATGCTGAGACGTTCTCAGTGCCAATGTCCTGCTCACACAGGGCAGCTGGAGAAGGGAGTGTTGCTGAGAAATATTTTCTGGGTCATCTTTTTGATTGATTTGCTGACTGAAAGATTCTGTGATGCATTTTGACAATCCCTGAATTGATTTTTAAAGAGGAGAAAAGCATGAAAATCAAGCCTGAGTGCCGTGGTATTTGGTCCTTCCAGGTAATCTGCACCATATAGCTCAAGGTTCTGTAATCACAAGCCATTCTACTTGCAAACTGCAGCTAATGAAGAGTGTACACACACACACACACACACACACACACACACACACACACATCCCACATACACAGAAAACAATTTCCAGGGCATCTTTGCAAACCACAGTTTTTTCCCAAACAGTGCAACCCATTATCTTATTTAATGAGTCAGGAAGCACATTTAAAATCAAGTGAGGGCTGCGAGGTTGTTCTATGAATGCCATCCAGGAAAACATGAGTGAGAGCTGATCTGCCAAGCGCAGCCCTTCATTGGACTGGGGCAATTTCTTGAGAAGTGAAGAACCTTGAGGTTCTTTGGTCAGGTCCTTTGCAGACTTCCCAGGCAAGTGGCCTCCACAGTGCATTTTCACAGCTTCCAAAGAGGACAGAGACCTGGTTCACACCGGGCAGTGCCTGAGGCGGAAGCACTTCCCTGCCCTGGAGTCCAGTCCCACCCACACCCCAGAAATTCACACAGATTTGCACCCATTCCCTCTTCCCTGCCAAGGGTGTGTTTTGCAGCCAGGGGCAGTGCCCAGTGCTGGAAGACTGGAATACTAGTGTGGTAGCAACTGCTGGGACCCCAACTCTGAACTTGTTCATGCCTCCTGGGATGAACGGATTTCAGATTCAGAACCTTAGGAGAGAATATGCACCCAAGATAACATGAAAAATTTGTCATTGTACCAACTCTTTCAAAGCTTACTCTGTTTAATCAAGATAATCTTTTCTAGCACACAATTATTTGAGAGAAGAATATGAGAAGTGAGTTTCTCAGTGGTAGCATATTTTATAAACTACTCCATTTAATATATTCATGTGTTTGTTTAAAAGTATGCCCTGTGTAACTTTTGTAGTGAGAATAGGTCTTTGAGATATGTAAATATTTATCTTCACAGTTACTAGTCCTCAGAGAGTTTTCCTTTGCGTCACATGACTTTGGCTTATCAGTTCAGTTTTCAATCTTTTTCTCCTTTGTCTTCCTTTTGTGTACATTGTTTACTTGAACTTTCATCCTTTGGCTGAAAGTGGAGTGCCTGGCTCCCTCCCAAGTGCTTTGTATGGCGGTGATTTGTTTTCCACTAAATCCAGAAGAGGGTCCAGGGCTGTGTGGCTGTCAAATGTTTGAACAACAGGTGACCTGACTGAGGAAGTTCCCCCTACAGTTGCTCTGCAAGTGTTGCTATTTTGCTGTTCACTGTATCACACTTAGTTTAAAAAGATATCAACAATGAGCATAGTTTCCAAAGGCTCATACACCCAATTCCTTCTTTTCAGATTTTCCACTAATCTTACATGTGAATGTGTAAGCAAAATCCTTCCTTCCTTTCCATCCTTAGGACAGGGTGGACTGCAGCCTGGGTCAGATTCATTACTCATGTAATAGATAGAAAATATAATTAGCAAACTGGTTTCAGTTGGCATCACCAGATCTTTCAGAATCATTTGCCCTCAATGGTGGCCTGGGGAAGGAGTCATGTTTATTTGGAATGAATTCTGGAAGTAGATGTCAGAGATGGGACATGGGGACAAGCTACTGGGGTGGTGTCTGAGCAGAGGCAGCAAGTAACCTCCTTCCCTTCAGATTCCTGCCTCAACCCTGTGACTCCAGTATGCGGTTAGGAGTGAGATGTCTTCCCAACCCCGAATTATCTCAGTTTTCTGAGTGACTTAAAGAAAAAACCAAATGTGACTTCATCTCTATGAAAAGCTTACTTTCCTCAAGAATGAGTAATCATTAACTGCTGCAAAATGCTTCCATTTGTTCTTGGAAGAGTAGCGTATAAAAATATGATTAAATACAATGGAAAGAAAACAAATGATTGTAAAGCAAGAAAAGTAGCTAGACAGTGGTCCTTCTTGCTTGTTTGCGGCTTCAATCAGCAGTGCCCCAGACTGAAAGGAATGCATGCCTGAAGACTTGAGGCTGTGAATGAGAATTGGCACACATGGTACTGAGCCGTCGGGCTCTTGGAGCTGGAGTAAGGGGGAGGCTTCCATGGACTCTGCCCTTTGCAGTGGTCCAGAGTCCATTGCTGTTATGGCTGGTGGTGCCATAAAGCACCAGAACAGACAGTCATTAGGGCGGTTTCTAAGTAAGGATTTTTCTGCATGCTACTTGCAACTGGTGTGCAATATTTTTATACACTGTATTAAAGAAATAAAGTACTTATGTCATTTGATTTGTGTGTTGAACAAGGTGAAACAATCTTAAGTGAGCATGTGGTCACACTAATTCCTCCGGTCTAGTATTTTCTCCCTTTCTTTTCAAAGGTCACCTCACAGATATCTGTGGAAATGAGGAAAGCATTCCAAGATTTGGTGAGGCCAGCTGCATAGTGCCTAAGTCTCCAGCTCCCCTGGAGACAGGCTGCAGTAAAAACAGTTCTAAATACTTAGCACTTTGTTTTTCTTAAATTGTTCGATCAGTCTTTGGCTTAAAAACGAGTTTTCACGTTTTGCTCATATCATTGGACAGTGGACACAGGGACAAAAACGAAACAGTTCATACAGGGACGGCTAATCTGCTGCTCTCACTTTCACCGGGGAGTCTGCCAACCCACTGGGTGTGTGTGGGCTGGTGAGGAGGCAACAACGAAGCCTGGTTTTCTGCCTCACTGCACCAGATGAGCCAGGATGGTTTCATTTTCAGTCTTGAGGCAAGTGGTGTATGCCTGAACAACAAAAGCACAGACAGGCATTCGTGAGAGTAAATGCATCACCTCTGTGCATCCATGAAGAAGGTGGACAAATCCCAGGTGCTATAAAACTCTCATTGGAACTACTTGGAGACAGCCCACATATCACTGCGTGCAGCTCCTGCTTCGGTTTAAAAGCAGCTGCTTTTTTTCCTTCAGGTGCTGAGGCCTTACCTTTCAGTGAGTGTGTGTGTGTGTGTGTGTGTGTGTGTGTGTGTTTTAATTCAACATCACAGGAAGTAATGAAATTAAATATAATGGTTAGATGTTTAAATGTGCATGTTCATTAAATATATTTACATAATATTTAAATGTCCCAGGTTGGAAATATGGAACAAGAAGGAAACTGAGTGTCTCTCCAGGAGCTCATAGCCCTGGTCTTGGGAGTGGCTGGAGAAAAACCCAAGTGCCTGGAAGAGTGCTCCCGCCTAGCCCAGTCTTCCTTGGGATCTCTGCTGCATGCCTCAGGGTCTGCAAATACTGTCCCCTTTGGGTTAGGTCCTTGAACAAGCCACTAAAACTGGAATGATTTCTAAAAGGAACAATGTATTAAAGCACTATAATTATTCACCTTTAGACAATAGAATATTAATTTTTTTTTTTTAGAAACTGAAAATATTTTTGTTTTTTTCTCTTTTTGAGACAGGGTCTCCCTTTGTAGTTCAGGCTGGCCTCAAACTCACGAATGTAGCCCATGCTGGCCTCAAACTGAAAGCAATCCTCCTGTCTCAGGTTCCCAAGTTTGGGACTGCAGGCATGCGAGACCGCACTAGGCTGAAAAGTTCTGCATAGAAAAACATAGTTAAGGCTGAAGTCCAAAGACACACTAGAAAATTATTTACCTGTAGCACAGAAATGGCAAATGTTCTCAATGTATCCATAACGCTCCTAAAAATAGAAATCAGAGCCTACAAAACGATCACCCCACTGGATCAAGGGACCTTAGACTCCCTATCATATCTCACAGGTGTGTTATAAACAGGAATGAATGACCTCTAGGTCCTGGGCAATGAATCCGCGGGCACTGACTGATGACCCTGTTTACTGTAGTCCTGGGCTGCATCAAGGATTCTGGGTATTGTAGTCCTGATGGTGGTTGGAGGGAACGACATGCCAAAGATTCCGGGCACTGTAATCTCCTGCGGTCACGTCGAGGATTCAGGATATTGTATTCCATTTGGGGGGACTGAAAGCAGGCCAAGGATTTTGCGTACCATATTCTGGGGAGTGTCTCATTTAGGAATCTGGGTACACTAGTTCATGAGGAAGCCGGTCGAGGATTCAGGGTACCTTTCTCCTTGAGGGGGCCTGCAGAAGGTTCTGGGTATCATATTTCTCAGCACGGTCAGGCTGAGGCTTGAGTATTGCAGTGCTTGTAAGGATTACACTGAGGTTTCTGGGTAGCAGAGTCCCTGGGGATCAGTCTTTGCAGAGGACCCAGAGGATTCTGGGTCCTGTAGTTGAGGGGGGACCCAGACGCTTCTGGGTACTGCAGTCCTTTGGCCACGTAGGCGCTTCTGGTTATCCGGGAAGGGGGAGTGGCACATGGAAACTGAGGGCTACTGTAAGACAGGTGTACATGCAGAGGCTTTTGGGTACCTTGGTCCTAGTGATCGGGGGCACAGGGAGGCTTTCTGGTACCGTAGTCCTGGGGGAAAAGTTGTCCCACGGAGGATGCTATGAGTTATAATGGGAGACATGCTGAAGTTTCTGGGTCCTGTAGTTCTGTGGTTGAGGCCCACAGAGTCTTCTGGGTACTGTAGACCTGGGAGGGAGCATACCATGAAGGTTTCTGGGTATCGCAATGGGGGTGGGCTAAGGCTTCTGAGTATCGTAGTTCTGTGGTTGGGGCATGCATAATCTGGGTAATGCAGTCTGCGGGGGTTACGGCAAGGATTCTGGGTAGTGTAGTTCTGTGGTTGGGGCACACAGAATCTCTTGGGTACTGTAGTCCTGGGTGTGGGCTATCAGGGCCAAGAATTCTGGGTACTGTAGTTGGAGGTGCACACCAACGCTTCTGGGTTTGGTGGGCAGGTGGAAGATTCTGCGACCTCTGGCGGCAATGCTGTGGAGTCAGCAGCTTCTGTCACCAGCCTCCTAATGTCAGTTGCCCTGGTGAGCTGGACTCCTGTGGCCCCTCTGTCCAGTGAGAAAGAGGGCTGAGAAGACCGGGCTGAAGGGGCGGGGGTGTCGGCAGATGGGCTGCTGGCCTCTGGCTCCCTGGCATCCTGCTCTGAGCTGAGGGGAAGGACCACATTGCCCTAGATGGCTCAGTGGGTGCTAAGGCCATGGTGCTGCTTGGTCTCTGTGTCTGGGGTGGGATGGGAAAGGCTGGGGCAGCTCATGCTCAACACCCTACATGGTCCCAGTGCACTCTCTGTCCTCAGGCTGGTGTCACTGCCCCTGGGGTCAGGTCAGGCTAGCAGTGACTGTTGGGGTGGTGGGCAGGCTGTCAAGTGCCCTGGGCCTGCAGCAAATCCGTAGGTGGTGAGTGGAAGGTGACTGTTCTAAGGGTCTGGCCCTGGACAGAATCCAGATCCCCTGTACCTGTAGTGCTCTGACCAGATTGGCTAGGTGGAGGAGCCAGCATTCCTACAATTTCATTTTGCTTTGATTCAAAATCATAAAGTAGGGGCCAGAAATGTAGCTCAGTGGCACCTGCCTGGCAAGCAAAAGGTCCTAAGTTCGATTCCCAGTACAAAAAAAAAAAAAAAAAAAGACAAAATCGTACAGTATTAAACTGTCTGAATCTGTATTATTTCTAAAATTGTGTAAATTAAATGTGCTACTACTCACTTCAAAATTCTATTGGTAAGGTTAAATCGAATTACAGCTGGGGTAAGGACAGCTCTACGCTGGATTCCTTGGGAAACAAACTGCAATCTAATTTTGTACTTAGAGGAAAACCTGGTTTAGGTCTAAATTCTGTGACAAGTAGCTGAGTCTCAGCTATTACAGCAGCTGTGCTGGTCAGGTGCAGCATGTAACAGAAGCTTTGTTTGTGCCTCAGTTCACCTCACAAGTGCTGCCATTCCCGTTGCACACCCTGGCTCTTTGAACCTGCTCTGACTGAGGACTGCCAGGTAGCGTAATCCTTTTTGTCCTTGCTCAAATAAACTGCTAAATTTAGCTTTTTAAAAAACTTGGTTTTTCCTTTTAACTTTGAGATAGAAAATAAATGTTTATTAATTTTAGTATTAGTGCTATTTCTTTAATGTTATAATCTGTTTATGTCTGTAAAAAATCAGTACGAGACATGATGGCATATGACTATATTCTGAGCACTTGGGAGGCCGAGGCAGGACAATCGATTGCTGTGAGTTTGAAGCCAGCCTGGGCTAGTGAGTTCAAGGTCAGCTTGAACTGAATAGCAAGTAAGTTCAAGACAAGTCGGAAATGTATACACTGCCTCAACAACCAAAGCAAATGGGGACTGGGGATTTAGCTCAGTGGTTCCGGCACCTGCCTTGCAAGCGTAAGGTCCTGAGTTCGATCCCTGGTGCCAAAAAAAAAAAAAAAACAAAGCAAAGATTAAAAAGTGACTAATTCTGGGTGCCAGTGGCGCACATCTGTAATCCCAGCTACTCAGGAGGTTGATGCAGGAGCATAGCAAAGCTGAGGCCAGGCTGAGAGACAGCAGCGTGTGCCCCCGGCGTTGTGCATGTTGTCACTGCATTTCATGCCTGAGGTCAGAAGAGCCTACTGTCCTTCACCTCCAAGCCTTTGTAGACATATCTGTCTCCATCCCTGAAGTGCCACCCTGCTGTGCTCCATTTGGCTAATTCCTGTGCATACCACAGGTATGGCTCAGTAACCACTTCTCTTGGAAGTCACCCTGACATCCCATTCCCCATGAAGCACCCCCGAACCCCTGAATGCAGCTAGCCAGGTAGGTCTAGCACGGTGCAAATGGGGCCTGCGCTCAATGTCTTGGTGCAGGGCCTCTTTGGGCCTTGTTCTCCAGGGGGAAGATGGGGGTACCCAGCCACTGCTCCCCTCTTTTGCAAGCTGTGGCACAGCCTCTCCTCAGCAGGCCAACTCCTACCATAACCCAAGCGGGCGCCCCTACAACCCCTGTTATTCAGATGAAGGCACACAGCTGCTATGTGGCTGGCGCAGGGCAGATGCATGAAGCAGCAATGGCAGTGGACGAGACAGTCTGCCTGGGAGCCCTGGACCACGGCACTGAGTGGAGTGTTCTAGAGCTGGAAGGGTCTCTGACCCCCTAGGTTGCCAAAAGTGGGACAGGACCCTTGTCTCCTGCATTCAGACCCAGATCAGCGGCTGTTTCTCTCTGAAGTTGTTGACATCCCCTTCTCCACGGTGAGCTGGAGTGCAGGCCCAGCCAGTCAGGACCTGGCGCTGCCTGGCGAGAGAGGCCTTTCCAGCCTTGCCCAGCATGCCCTGGGGCCCCTTAGTCTTTGAGTGTGATGTGGAGGGAGGTGCTCTCCTATGAGCGGGCCCCATGGTGTCCACACCTGAGG